TGATGAGCAGTGAGTAGGTCCACACCCAGGATCTAAACCAGCAAACTCTGGGCCACCAAAGCAGAACACATGAACTTAACCGCTATGCCACCAGGCCAGCCCCTAGGGTAAACCATTCTTAGTCATGATATGTTATCTTTTTTATGTATTATTGGATTTGATTTGCTAATATTTTGTTAAAAATACTTGGCTCTGTCTTCATAAGGGTATTCTTCTGTAATTTCCTTGATAATGTCTTTGTCACATTTTGTATTAGAGTTCTACTGGCCTCATAAAATGAGTTAGGCAGTTACTGTCCTCTATTTTTTTTAAAAGTTTGCATAATATTATTGTTATTTCTTCCTTGAATGTTTTATAGAACTTACTAATGAAACCATTTGAGTTGGAGTTTTCTTTTTAGGAAGATTTTTGATACCACATTTATATTTGTTAGTAGTTATAGAACTATTCAGATTTTCTGTATCTTCTTGTGTCAATTTTGCTAATTTATATTTTCAAGAAGTATATCCATTTCATCTAAGCTGTGAAATTTGTTGGCATGACATTTTTAATAGTGTCTTATGATTATGCTTTCAATATCTGTAGAATCAGTAGTAATAACCATTTTTCATTCTTGATACTGATATTTTAAATATTTGATACTTTGACTCTCTGGTGTTTGAATATTTTTAGTGTTCCATTTTATTTTATCTCTTGGCTTTTTGGCTATATCTCTTTACATCATTATTTTTAGTGGTTGGTCTATAGATTGCAATACATTTGCCTAACCTTCCACAGATTATTTAGAGTTAATATTGCACCACTTCATGTAAAATGTAGAAAATTTGGAACCATATGGGTTCCTTTGCCTACACCCAACCTTTATATGGTAGTTGTCATATGTATAATATTTACATACATTGAAAATGTGACCAGATAATGCTATATTTGTTTTCAATATTCAGTCATATTTTAAAGAACTTGAGGGGGAAAACATAGTGTTTTGTATTTACCCAGATATTTACCATTCTTGTGCTTCCTTCTATCCTGATGTGTCAGAGTTCTTTCTGGTATCATTTCCCTTCAGCCTGAAATATTACTTATAGCATTTCTAATAGAGTTGGTCTGCTGCCAATGAATTCTCTTAGTTTTCCTTCATCTGACAATGTCTTTATTCTGCCTTTATGCCTCTAGGATATTTTTGCTGACTGTAGAATTCTGAGTTGACAGAGACATCTGCCAGAATTTTGATTGGGAGTACATTAAATCTGTAGATCAATTTGGGAAGAATTGCTATCTTAGCAAAAGAAAGATGTTATTCCACTGCCTTCTGTCCCCCATCATTTCTTTTGAGAAATCTGTGATTATTCTAATCATTATTCTCTGTATATAATGTGTCATTTTCTCTATCTGCTTTTAAGACTTTTTCTTTTCCTTGGATTTCGTCAGCTTGATTATGATATGTGTAGGTGTTTTTTCCTTTGATTTTTATCCTGTTTGGAGTTCACAAAGATTCATGAATATGTAGATTTATTTCTTTCAACTAAATTTGGGAATTTTTGAGTCATTATTTCTTCAAACAGATTTTCTTCCCCAGTCTCTTGTGCCTCTACTCCTGGGACTCCAATAATATGTATTTGTGATCTTTTTATATTCTACAGGCCCCTGAGGCTCTGTTCACATTTTCCTATTTTCCTTTCTTTGTGTTCTTCAGCTTGGATATTTTATATGGTTTATCTTCAAGCGTACTGACTCTTTCCTGTGTCATCACCAGTATGCTATTGAGCCTTCGCAGTGATTTTTTTTTTAGTTCAGATATTTTATTTTGTTTTTAAGTTTTAACATTTCTGTAATTTTTTTTAGTTTTTTTTTCCCCCCTACTGAGAAAATCTGCTTTTTCATTCATTTCAAGTGTGTTTCCCTTTATTTCATGAAGTATATTTAGAATAGCCGCTTTATATCTGATTATCATGATGTTGGCATTTGTTGATTGCTTTTCCCTTTAGAATTGATCACATTTTTCTTTTTTGTATGTTCAGCAATTTTGAATTGTGCCCTTGATATTGTGAATATTATATTGTGTAGGTTCTAAGTTCCTGTTATGTTCCTCTGGAGACTGTTGATGTATTGTTTTAGCAGGCAATCAACCCAGTCAGGTTCAGACCACAAATTCTATCTTGCAGTGATTCAAATCACAGTTAACTCTTCAAGCCTGTGTGTGGGACCATCCTGTGTGTATCATTCAGGGGTTACCTTGAGACATGGTTTAAATGTGAGTTCAGTTCTCTGAGCAGGTTTAGGTCTGCCCCTCATATGTGTATCTCAGGGCTTAGGCTGAGACTTGTGCAGGTTCAAACATGGAACCAGATGATGCTCTTCTCTAGCCCTTTCCCCACACTCCCTGGCTCTATTGGAGTTTCAGGCACTGCTGCTTCCTCCCTTATATTACTCTATACCTGGAGCCCACATTCGGGGGAAGCTGCAAGAGAAATGAGGGAAAAAACTACAAAACAGGAAATTCATTCCCATGCAGTTGCCATTGTAAGTTATTGCTGTCCTCTAGAATCCACCTGTGTTTCTTTACTTTGAGGAATCTTCAGGGAGTTATTTTGGTATTTTGCCTAGAGATTTTAGTTATAATCAGCAGGAGGCATGGATTATGGGTTTACATTGCCATGCCAGAATGGCAACCTCAGAAGGTAGAGTTTGAAAACAGATAGTCTGGATCCAGAACTTAAGCAATAACTATATTGCTTGTCCTCTTCAAAAAAAATTTTTTAAATATATGTAATATTAATTAAATTGATGGATCTCCCTGAGTCAGATATATCCAGAATCTCTCAAAAATTCCTCCAACAGATCACTTTTATTCATTTAATAACAATAGATTTAATAACTCTTTCAGGAAGGTGTTAAACAGTGTTTTTCCCTCTCATCCTGAGAGAGGAGGATAGAAAGTGAAGGAAGGGGAGTCCCTAAATCTAACTCCAAAAAATAACATACAGTCTAATTATTGGTCAACAGTCAACAAGCACAAATACCCTTCTGGATCTTGCTTTGGGCACAGAAAAGTAACAGAAAGGAAATAGCCTACTGAAAAATTCATATGCCTACCATGTAGAAAAATTCATTATCTCCAAAGACAAATGAACCCAATCTCAGCAGAGATGAAGACCTTAAGATTTTTGTTCTACTGGTAATTCAAAAGAATAATGTGGAAACCATGAACATTCAGCTAATTCTGTGTAACTTTAATTATGAAATTTTCAATATGTAAATAATAATTTCAGCTCCATCTTTGGAAGTATGTTTTACAAAGCTACCTCTTTGTAGCCATGAGTTTCCTGGTGCCAGGCCCTTTTCCTTTGTGATCATGACATACTCTTAGAAACTTATTTTGAGAAGTGACTTATCCATGCTGTTCTAGGGCCTCTTGTAGTAGTGGTGGTGGTGGTGGTGGTAGTGGTAGTGGTGGTAGTAGTAATACATAAATGGTAGAAATAACAATACAGATGATGATAGCTTACTTAAGACTTATTTTGAGCCACATATTATATGCTAGCACTTTACAAACATTAGCTCATTTAACCCCTGGTAGGTTTTATTTTTTTAGATGAGTAAAATGAAGCTTAATATGCCAAGGCCACACAAATGATAAGTGGCAGAGCTAGGATTTATTCTGGCCAGCTATGCCATAAGTAGGACTTGGAGTCCTGAGCCAGTATATAGTTCCTTCCTACAGATGAATGTAAGTAGATAAATGAACCAGCATTTCACTGTCACTCATTTTGTCCAGCAAGAAACCAGGGTCCGTCACTCTTCCAGTGGGTGATCATGCTACATCTAAAGACTGGGAAGTGAGTCAGATTTAATTTTAACCTTGGGCTTCTTCTAAGGCTCTCCACTGTGAAACTTGATCTAATGAATAAAGTCAATCTTAGCAAATTAGTAAAGCAGAAAATTTCACATTCCTTTCTGAATGTCTTTAGGTACTACCACCCAAGTCTTCTACAGGAATATAAAAATATTACTTCTCTGATCATTAATTGCATTCAGCAATTCCAAGGTTAACACCCTTAGGAAATACTGTCATCACCAGTCAACTGTTGATAAGGTTGGGAAGGATAGCAGTTTTTAGCTGGCTGGCACTATATTCCACTAAAATTGAGATTCTTTTACTAAAAAAGAGGATAATGGACATTGGGAAGCAACTAGCTGTCTCTGCTACACTCTGTGAATCTGGTCTTCCCCCTGGACTTCCCCATTTCAATAAATGTCAGCTCCATTCTTCCAGTTGCTTAGGCCAAAGTATCTTGGGGTCATCCTTGACTCCTTTTCTCTCCTACTCTACATTCAATCTACCAGCAAATCCTATTGATTATACTTTTAAAATATATTCTGAATCTGACAACTTCTGACTAACTCCATCACTTTCCTCTTAGTGCGGGCTATCATCGCCTCCCCTAGACTTCTAAAATAGTCTCCTCACTGGTCTCTCTGGTTCTGCCAGTCCATTCTCCACTTAGTAGCATACAGTCCTCAAAACATAAGTCAGATCGGGTCATTCTGTGTGCAGAACTCTCCGGTTACCTCCCAGCTCACTGAATAAAATCCAAGTAGCTTACTATTAAAAGGCCGTACATCACTTGTTCCGGCCTAACTCTCTGATTAAATCTACTATTCTCTCCCTCACTCATTCCACTCCACCTACACTGGTGGAGTGGAATGTTGATGTTCCTTGAATACCCCAAGGATGTACCAATTTCAGAGCCTTTGTATCTACTCTTCCTTCTATCTTGAATGCTGTTCTCCTAGATATCCCCATGGCTTGCTCCTTAACTTCCTTCAGGCTTGTGATCAAATATCACAGTATCAAAGAGATCTTCCCCAACAGCCTATCTAAAATAGGATTTCCGCTTATAAAACTTTTTCCCTTTATACAGCTTTTTTTCTTCTTAACACTCAGCACCATGTGACACATTATCTGATTTTCTGCATGTGTATGTGTGGGTGTGTGTATATATACACACACACACTTTCTCTTTGTACATACGTGCATATATATAAACACTTATATGTACATATATGAATTTGATTATTGAATGTCTTCTCCACTCGAATTAGAGTAGGAACTTGGGCTATTTTGTTCACTATCAGATAAGGGTGGTCAGGAGAGACTTCTCTGAGGAGAGGACATTTGAACTAAGGATGAAGGAAGAGGAGCCAGCTATGCAAAGGTCTCAAAGGAGAGCACTCCAGACAAAAGGAACACTAAGTGCAAAGGCCCTACAGTGGAAATAAGCCTGCTGAGTTTAGGGGACTTGTCCTGCCTTTGGGGACAAAGAGAAGCCCAGTATAGCTGGAATATAGAAAATTATAGACAGAGTGGAACAAGTTGAGGTGGGAGAGAGAAGCAGGGCCAAATCATTATATAGAGTTTTGCCTGTCCCAGACACAATAGAAAAAGAGTTGCCAGCCTCTCTGGCCCCTCAGCTATTCTCTAGCCTGTGGGAAGCTCTAAGGCTCCACTGCCAGAGGCCACTCAGTAGCTACTAGTGACTTGCAGCTATTTAGATTTAATTAACTAAAAGTAGATACAATAAAAAGTACAGTTTTTCAATCACACTGGCCATATTGCAAGTGTTCAATAGTCACACGTGGCTAATGGCTATCTGTTGGACAGTACAGATAGAGAACATTCCATCATCACAGAAAGTTCTGTTGGACAGTGCTGCTCTAGGAAAGCCAGTCAAGGAGAAATAATGCCAAGTTTGCTTAGCCTCTCCTTTGTGATTTTCTCTTAACCCTAGAATCAGCGTTTATCTATTTAAATGGAAATATATGTGGTGCATAGAAAATTAGCATGTGGCCTGTTGCATATGCAAATGTTCTCATGGATGATTTTTACCTGTGACAGAAAAGATGGGAAAGACTGGTAAATCACAAGCATTCTTAACCTTATTATGAATACATTGCAAATGTAAAAATGCAAAGTGTGGAAGTCATAAGCGTGACAGCGGCTTTCAATTTGTTTTAATAGGTGTTTTCTATGTCTTATTGTAACCTAGGGATCTTGCTGCAAGAAACTGCCTGGTAGGTGAAAATAATGTTCTAAAAATCAGTGACTTTGGAATGTCTCGTCAAGAGGATGGTGGAGTGTATTCATCTTCTGGCTTAAAGCAGATTCCCATTAAATGGACAGCACCAGAAGCTCTTAATTATGGTAAGAATAGACTCTATTTCTTTTTGGTGGTAAAAATGGACTCCATTAGCACAAAACATTCACACGCAAAGTTATAGGGTAGAGCAGAGTCCAAGTTAGAATGATTTGAGGATCAGCACAAATGTGTAAATGTTCGTAGTTTGCACTTAAACATGAGCACGAACTTACTTCATTGACTTTATTGATCAGATTTCTATATGTAAGATTACTAGATTTAAAAGATGGATACACTCACAAGCCTGTTAAATATGACTATGCATCTAAGAGAGTTTGTGTTTTTATCCAAAAATATGAATATTTTGATAGTGAAATTATACACAGTAAAAGTGTTGCTGTGGCTCTGGACCATTTCTTTTGAATATCTTATAATTGGTCCAATAATCTCATCTGTTAGGATCCTAAAATATTAAGTCAATCTATTCTGTAGTCTGTCACTCTGAAAATCAACATGGTTTCTTAGCATCTCTGGAACTTGTATAAATCTTGTGGGAAGAGAGAGATGAGACTGACATTTTAAAACAGCAGGGATATTTTTCACTTGAATTCTTATGTGTCATTGTAATTGGAAATAAATACAGCTTGCATTATCTGTGATTGGGATGAAATGGGCCATAACAAGATGGGTAACAGCTCAAGAATAAAAAAAAAAGATTGTGCTTTAAGTGAAATTAGAAATCACATTTTCATTAAGGGAAGCAACATATGAGCCATGGGTTGGTGAATGGATGTAGTATGTTTTGAATAAAAATATCATAAAATTATTCTTTGTTTCTTTAAAATGAAAAATTACTTCATCATGAAAAATTAATAAAGCATTTATAAATGCCTTAACTTAATGCCTAAATTAAAGACATAAAGCTTTTGTTTTGAGGTAAAATTCATGTAACATAAAATTAACCATTTTAAAGTCAACAGTTCAGTGGCATTTAGTACAATTCATAATGTTGTGCAACTACTATCTCTATCTAGTTCCAAAACATTTTCATCACTCCAAAATAAAACCCTATACCCATTAAGAAGTTACTCCCCATTCCTCCCTCCCCCCAGCCACTGGCAACCACATATCTGCTTTTTGTTGTTATGGATATACCTATTCTGCATATTTCATATAAATGGAACCATACAATATGTGACCTTTTGTGTGTGGCTTCTTTCACTTAGCATAATGTTTTTGAGGTTCATCCATGTTGTAGTATGTATCAGTACTTCATTCCATTTTATGGCTGAATAATATTACATTTTATGTTTTTACCACAACTTGTTAATCCATTCACCCACTGATGTATATTTGAGCGGTTTTCACCTCTTGGCTATTGTGAATAGTGCTGCTATAAACATTTGTGTACAAGGATTTGCTTGAGTACCTGTTTTCAATTATTCTGGGTATACATTAGGAGTCATATGGTAATTCTATGTTCAACTTTTTGAGGAACCACCAAATGTTTTCCAGATAAAGCTTTGGAATGTAATTGGTTTGGAAGTTAGTTGGGGCAGATCCAGGCACCAGAATCTGGTTTGTATTTTGCATACCAACAATACAATGGATTATATAAGAGTAGGCAGTTGTCATTATGAGAAATTGACTAAGCTGTTCTAGTTCCCAAAAATGACATTTTTAAACTTAACGCTCCACAGATACTAATCCTCACCCTTAGTTTGTATTTCCAAGTGCTAGCAAGAGAAGCTTTTATGAGTTTTCTAGTGATCCCAAACTGATTCCGCTATTCCTCAGAATCTAGAGGAAACAGCAGCCCTGCTGTTTTCCATAGTGATTCTTCTCTGGGGTGGTTATCATTATTACTCTAAGGCTATATTCCTAAGGAGAACAATCACAGGATAAAAGTTAGGCTTGTAACCCTTGTATTTACAGAGAGGTTTTCTTTAGATGAAAGAACATTGTTAAGCACCTTCTTACTGATTCTTACAGCATCCCTATAAGGGAGCTGGACCTGGACTTGGGGGACCCTAAAGGCTTACCAGTAAAATCCAGCTCTCTAGAATTTGTCTTTAACCCTGTTTGCCAGATTCTCTTCATTATATTGCCTTTAAAAGTCCTCTCAGGGGCCGACCTGGTGGCACAATGGTTAAGTTCACGTGCTCTACTTCAGTGGCCTGGGGTTTGCAGGTTCGAATCCTGGGCACAGACCTACGCACTGCTCATCAAGCCATGCTATGGCAGTGTCCCACATACAAGATAGAGGAAGATGGGCGCAGATGTTAGCTCAGGGCCAATCTTCCTCAGCAAAAGAGAAAAAAAAGTCTTCTTACTGTTAAGCAATTATGTGAAGTAAAATTCTGGCTTTTAATCAAAGAGTATTTTGGTTGAATTTCAAGGTGACTAAAGTATTTACAAATTAAAATTCTAATTCCAGATATCACTAAGAGCCAGACCTAAAGCATTTTAAGTAATAAATACAGGTATGAAGATCTTTGAGTGGCAGTAAGGGACATTTTTTGGCAGTCTTAACTTTATAAAATGCAGAACAATTTAGATGACAAAGAGGGAGAGATTTTAACAGTAGCTGAGAAAGAAGTTTTGAGTATTTATTACCCGATGTACTGATGGAGTTCCTGAGAGTCTACAAGTCTCATAGCAACCCTGAGAAGTTGTTTTAGTTCTCACAGACTAAAATTACTGAAGATTGGCTCTAAATCCTAGCATTTTTTTTTTTTTGGTGAGGAAGATTGGCCATGAGCTAACGTCCATTGCCAATCCTCCTCTTTTTGCTGAGGAAGATTGGCCCTGAGCTAACATCTGTTTCCGTCTTCCTCCACTTTGCACGTGGGACACTGCCACAGCATGGCTTGATGAGCAGTGCGTAGGTCCACACCCAGGATCCGAACTAACGAATCCCAGGCCACCAAAGCGGAGCCAACCACTACACCACTGAGCCAGGGCCCCTAGCATTTTTTTTTAACAAAAAGAAAATATAAGTATCTTATGAAAGTCCTATTTCTCATTATACTTTTTTCATGTTTTATGAAAATATTGTTTTATGATTGGTGGTAAGATTCTGCCTCATTCTCCCTCAGAGGGACTTTTCATCACTCTTGCCTCAGAGTAGGTAAAATACTGCCCAAGTCTCCAAGAAGTGTGGGGTCAAGGTAGGTGGAAAAAACATGAAGTCTAAGGAACTTCTCTGAAACTTTGGCTTAGGGACATAGAATTAAACTTATTTGCATCATTGTTTTGTCATTAATGTTGTTTAATTTTTAAAAGATAGTACATATACTTGGTTTTTTAAAAATCAAGCAATAGTAGAGGGCCTACAATGAAATGTAAGCCCCTCTCCCATGCCTGCCTCTAGCCACATAATTCCCCTTCCTAGAGGCAAATACTCTTATCATATTCTTATATTCTTCTCAGCCATTTATTGGTATATATCTCCTCCTCCTTTTTTTAAACACAAAATGATAGCATACTTGCTAGCCTCTTCAGCATGTATTGCCACCATCCTCAGCACAGCTGTCACCAAAGGTACTGTGTTTTTGGGGGCAAATAGGACACTGATCTCCAACTAAGAAATAAAATAATCTACTTATCATATTAAAAGAAACTTTTTCATCTGTCACCTGGGAATTTGGGCCGATGCATCCTCTAATTTAATTAGTGTGATGTAATTAAGTGCTCCAAAATGCGAGGGAGGTAGGATTTATAGTGAAAAGAGTCCTGGATCACTCATCAGGACTAGGTTTTCCAACCAGTTATGTCAATAGTTGCATGAACTTGGCAAGCCGTCTGCTTCTGTACACCTACATTTTCTAATTTGCAAGATGAGAATGATAGTACTTTTTCTCTGCAAGGGTATTGTGAGGATTGAATGAGAGATGGAAAAATAGCAAAATGCTATACAATTATAAGTTACTCTTAGCCCATTAAAGTTATTCAACAAGGTTCCAGTTCAAGACGGCAACATAGGAACTTCCTGAACTCACTTCTTCCCACTGGCACACCAAATCTGTAGCTACATATGGAACAATTCCCTCTAAAAAAAAAAAACCCTAAAAACTAGCTGAGCAACTTCTACTCATCGGGCAAACAAGAAAAAAAACTACATCAAAGCAGTAGGAGAGGCTGAGACACAATCTCACCATAAACTCAACCCCCGGTGTGGCAACCCACAATCAGGAGGGAACTGAAAACGTGGAGGTTCTCACTGAGAAATGAAGGGTTTGAACCCCACATTGGGCACCCCAGCTTTTAAGACCTGCACCTGAGACATGAGCCCTCAAAACATCTAGCTTTGGAATACAACAGGGAAACTGAGAAATGGCTCTTAAAGGGCTCGTGCACTCGGACTCACCCTAGGGGCCAGCACAGAAACAGCCAATGGAGAGGCTCCCAGACTTTATGTGAAAGGGATTTATTTGCTAATCTTAAAGCATCAGCCTGAGGAGCAAGCATTTAATTTAACAGACATCTGAGGGCCTGCCGGGATGCCGTCCAGGGATGGAGGCTAGTGGGTGCCAATATTTCCCAAAAGGGAGCTTATACACATATCTGGTGCCCCGGTTTTTGTGGCTGCTGCCCAGGGGATAGCCCTTGATTGCCTGCCTCTGGTGGCAAACGTGCCTTGTATTCCTGGGTCCCACAGGACTGTAACAGTCAGAGACAGTTCTTAGCTACCACCCCCAGGGTACTGAATAGACAGCAAACTGAAAGAGACCTATTTGCCTGTCTTGGAACTTGGGCCTGAAGGTCAGGCTTCAGGTTCAGCACATGTCTAGGGGTCTACAGAGTTCCTCTCAAAGAACATACGCCAGCGGAAGTCATCTTTGTTCTCACCCTCTGCCTTGCTACAGCTCACTGATATCTCCCAGAAAGGAAATTATACACTCGTCTGGAGTCCCAGTTTTTGGAACTGCTGCCCAGGGAACACCTCCAGATCACCTGGCTCTCGTGGTCAGCAGGGCTTACACTTACAATCTCACAGGACTGTACATATTTGCAACTTTAAAAGTTGTTGCCTGAGGGTCTGGCTTCCAATCAACCTGTAATCTAGGTGCTGACCAAGACTCTCCCCTTTGGGATACTGACAGGTGCTGGCACACCTTTAATGGCTTTAATAGCTCTTAACTACCAAAAGCCATTAAAAATAAAATAGGCTGTGTGCTCAATCACAAAGGTTTGAAAGACAACCAAGAGCTAGGGCAGGGTTGAGTGACAAGGTTCATCTCCTACACAAGGCAACTCCTTCAAGACTGGGAGAGGGGACTGTTTCCTCTAATGCATAGAAACCAATACAGAGAGTCAAGAAACATGAAGAAGCAGGAGAATATGTTCCAAATGAAAGAACAAGATAAAACTTCAGGAAAAAAACTTAATGAAACAGAGATAAGTTATTACCTGATAAAAAGTTCCAAGTAATAGTCATAATGATGCTCACTGAACTCAGGAAAAGAATGGATGAACACAGTGAAAACTTCAACAAAGAGATAGAAAACATAGGAAAGTACCAGATAGAAGTCACAGAGCTAAAGAATGCAATAACTGAGCTGAAAAATACACTAGAAGGGTTCCACAACAGACTAGATGAAGCAGAAGAAAGGATCAGTGAACTCGAAAACAGGGCAGTGGTACTTACCCAATCAGAGCAGCAAAAAGAAAAAAGAATTTTAAAAAGTGAAGATAGTTTAAAGGACTTATGTTAAAATATCAAGTGGACTAACATTCACAATATAGGGGTCCCAGAAGACAGACAGAAGAGAAAAGGGCAGAAAATTTCCCTAACCTGGAAAGGAAACAGGCATCTAGATCCAGGAAGCCTAGAGAGTTCCAAATAAGTGGAACCTAAATAGACCCAAACCAATAATTAAAATATCAAAAGTTAAGGACATGGAGAGAATATTAAAAGCAGCAAAAGAAAAATAACTTGTTACATACAAGGGAACTCCCATAATACTATTAGCAGATTTTTCAACAAAAACTTGCAGTCTAGAAGGTGTTAGCACACTATATTCAAAGTGCATGGGCCGGCCCCGTGGCTTGGTGGTTAAGTGAGCGCGCTCCACTGCTGGCGACCCGGGTTCGGATCCCGGGCTCACACTGACGCACTGCTTCTCCGGCCATGCTGAGGCCGCATCCCACATACAGCAACTAGAAGGATGTGCAGCTATGACACACAACTATCTACTGGGGCTTTGGGGGGAAAAATAAATAAATAAAAATCTTTAAAAAAAAAAAACAAAGTGCTGAAAGAAAAAGAACTTCCAACCAAGAATACTCTAACTAGCAAAGTTATGATTCAGAATTGGAAGAGAGAGAAAGAGTTTTCCAGACAAGCAAAGCTAAAGGAATTCATCACCACTAAACTGGCCTTACAAGAAATGTTAAAGGTACTTCTTCAGCTGAAAAGAAAGAATGCTAGTTGGGAACAAGAAAACATGAAAGTTGAAATCTCACTGGTAAAGGTAAATATATATTAGAGGCAGTGATTAATAACTTATAAAGCTTGTATGAAAGTTAAAAGACAAACATAGTAAAAATTTCTACAACAGTTAGTTAAGGGATGCACAAGATAAAAAGATGTAAAATTTCACATCAAAAACAGCATGGGGGGGTGGAGAATAATAATGTAGAGCTTTAGAATTAGTTCAAACTTAAGTTGTTGTCAACTTAAAATAGACTTTTACAAATATAAATTGTTATACATAAGCCTCATGGTAACTACAAGGCAAAAACCTATAGTACATACACAAAAGACAGAGAAAGGAATCTAAGCATATCATTAGAGAAAGTCATCAAGTCACAGAGGAAGAGAGCAAGAGAAGAATAAAGGAATAGAGAGGAACTACAAAAGAGTCAGAAAACAATTAACAAAATGGCAATATGTACATACCTATCAGTAATTACTTTAAATGTAAATGGACTAAATTCTTCGATCAAAAGACATAGAGTGTTGAATGGATTTAAAAAAAAAAACCCAACTGTATGCTGCCTACAAAAGACTCACTTCAAATATAAGGACACACACAGACTGAAAGTAAAGAGATGCAAAAAGACATTTCATGCAAATGGAAACCAAAAGAAAGCTAGGGTAGCTATACTTCTATCAGACAAAATAAACTTTAAAACGAAGATATAATCAGAAACAAAGAAGGACATCACGTAATGGTAAAGGGTCAATCCAACAAGAGGATATAACATTTGTAAATATTTATGCACCCAACATAGGAGAACCTAAATATATAAAGCAAATATTAACAGACCTAAAGGGAGAAATAGACAGCAATACAGTAATAGTAGGGGACTTTAATACACCACTTTCATCAATGGATAGATCATTCAGATAGAAAATCAATAAGGAAACATTGACCTTAAATGATACGTTAGACTGGATGGACTTAAGATAAATACACGACATTCCATCCAAAAGAAGCAGAATACAAATTCTCTTCACTAAATGGTATTGGGAAAACTGGACAGCCACATGCAAAAGAATGAAACTGGACCATTATCTTATATCATACACAAAAATTAACTCAAAATGGATTAAAGGCTTGAACGTAAGACCTAAAACCATAAAACTCCTAGAAGAAAAGAGAGGCAGTAATCTCCTTGACATCAGTCTTAGAGATGATTTTTTGGACTTGATACCAAAAGCAAAGGCAACAAAAGCAAAAATAAAGTAAGACTACAGTCTGGTGCTGCATAATGACATTTCTGTCAGCAATGGACTGCATATACGATGGTAGTACCATAAGATTAGTACCATATAACCTAGCTGTGTAGTAGGCTATACCATCTAGGTTTGTGTAAGTACACTCTATGATGTTCATACAATGACGAAATCGCCTAATGACGCATTTCTCAGAATATATTCCTGTCATTAAGCAACACCTGACTGTACATAAAATTAAAAAGCTTCTATACAGCAAAGGAAACCTTCAATAAAATGAAAAGGTAACCTACTGAATGGCAGAAAATATTTGTAAATCATATATCTAATAAGGGGTTAATATCCAAAATATATGAAGAACTCATACAACTCAATAGCAAAAAAAATAAACAATTCAATTAAAAAATGGGCAAAGGATCTGAATAGACATTTTTCCAAAGAAGACATACAGATGGGCAACAGTTACATGAAAAGATGCTCAACATTATTAATCATCAGGAAAATTCCAATCAAAATTACAATGAGATATGACCTCACACCTGTTAGAATAGCTGTTATCAAAAAGATAAAAAACAAGTGTTGGTGAAGATATGGAGAAAGGAAACCCTGGTGTACTGTTGGTAGGAATGTAAATTGCTTCAGCCACTGTGGAAAACAGTATGGAGGTGCCTCAAAAAATTAAAAATAGAACTACCATATGATCCAGCAATTCCATTTCTGGGTATATATCTGAAGGAAATGAAATCATTATCTTGAAGAGATATATTTACCCCCATGTTCATTGCAGCATTATTTACAATAGCCAAAATATGGAAACAATCTGAGTGTCCATCAATGGATGAATGGATAAAGAAATTGTAGTTTATATACATATATATTCACATATATGTGTGTGTGTGTACATATAGAATATTACACACATAATGTGTACAATGGCATACTATTCAGCCATAAAAAAAGAATGAAATCTGGCCATTGCAACAATATGGATGGACCTTGAGGGAATTATGCTAAGTGAAATAAGTCAGACAGAGAAAGACAAATACCATATGATCTCTCTTGTATGTAAAACCTAAAAAAAGCTCATAGGTACAGAGAACAGATTGGTAGTTGCCAGAGGTAGAGGTTGACAAAATGGGTAAAGAAGGTCAAAGGTACAAACTTCCAGTTATAAAATAAATAAGTCCTGGGGATGTTATGTACGGCATGGTGATTATAGTTAATAATACTGTATTGCATATTTGAAAGTTGCTATGAGAGTAAATCTGACAAGTTCTCATCACAAGAAAAATAGATTTATAACTATGTGTGGTGATGGATGTTAACTAGACATTATGGTGATCATTTCGCAATATATACAAATATCGAATCACCATGTTGTACTTCTGAAACTAATATAATGTTATATGTGAATTATACCTCAATAAAATAAAAGTAAATAAAAAATAAATTAAAAAATAAAAATTATCAAGTGAAGCCAGGTTCCAAGGTCAAGATTGTAAAGTTAGGTTATAAGCTTTCACTTCTGCAGTGTGAGCTTGGTTTATATACAACATGCCTTTCTTTCTTGATCTCTGCCCAGATATTATCTTACAAAGAAGATGTTAGACTCTGTATACCTTGTACTTTCTTAAAGAATTAATGAGCCTTAACTTGTAGCCATTGAATGACTTTCATGAAAAGTATTAAATTATTGGGTGCCAAACATAAAAAGAGTTGATACGCAGACAAGAAAACTCATCTTCCTACCAAACAGCAGAGTGAATGTCCATAATTACTGTCTACTCAGAGGGAAGCTAATTCACACAGCTGGAGATGATAATCAGTAAGTGCACTCCAAACTCTGACGTCAGAGCAGTTACCATAGTGCAGGCATACTCTCATTCTCATTTTCCTTTTTTCAAGAAAGAGAATAGGCCATCTTTAAAGTAACAAGACATTTTTAGAAGAGGAGCATTTATAAATCCTGGAATGGGAGAGTTAAGGCAGGAAGCTACAAGGGGAATAGAAATGAAATCATTTAAGAAACCTTTAGCACCACAGCAAATGGAGTTTAGTTATGACAGTATATGCCCTACATGTAAAATTTAAATAAAAATACAAATATGTTGGGAAAGTTTTTGAAATTCTTAGCCTCTTGGAGATTGGAAAGGAGTTTTCTGCTTCCCCTCCTTAGTTTCACATGCATCTCCAGAAGGTATCTTGTGTTGGCTTTTCTCTCTGTGCTTCTCCAAAAGACTACCAAAACCAAACAAAAATCCTGAGAGCTTAGCTTACGTAGCTCACTAAAACAGGTGCACCAAGATATTTTGACAAAACAAGGCACCATGTAATTTAAAGAAGTTGTTTTTATCAGCCAGCTATGTTAATTTCTACTCTATTCAAAACACACAGAAAAATGTACTTTCCGTAAATGAAACTAGCAGTGGAGAAAATGAGACCTTAAAGCATGTGAGAATATCTGTAAACAGTAATGAATAAAAAATTGAAGTTAAGAAACTTTCCTTATTGCTTTAAGTTTGTTTGTAATTTTAGTGGAAAGAAAATGATGCAGGCAGAAGACAAATTTGCAGAAATCCAACTTATTTAATTTCCTAGGCATGGATGTGTACAAATTTATTTCTTTTTTATATAAACCACTCATCTCATTTAGATACCACAGGGAAAGTAAGCTTGCGTGCTGGCTGAAAATTCATTTGTGGTGGGGGAAAGTGATTTGGGAGCTGATTTGGTAAAACTAGCAGCCTGAACACTGTTCATTTAATTAGTAATATTACTAGTCCTGGAAAGTAAAACTAGTGAAGAGAATAAGATTACTAGTTATTGAGTTCCTTTGGTAAGTTTAACTATGTTAATGTGACTGACAGACAGACATAACCAGAAATGCTCACCTACTTATCCACTGACCTGGTTATGGTTTTGTTCACCTCCAGGAAGATACAGTTCTGAGAGTGACGTGTGGAGCTTTGGCATCCTCCTCTGGGAGACCTTTAGCTTAGGGGTCTGCCCATACCCTGGAATGACAAATCAGCAAGCACGGGAACAAGTGGAGAGAGGTGAGCCAAAGACGCGGGGTGGTAGTGTTCACATCCAGCCTCCAGGGGCAGGGCTGATGCTGTGTCTGCGGCTTTCCTGGGAGGAGGAAGGTACATAGTGGTTGGGAATGTAAATAGAGAGCAGAGGCGTTGATAAATCTGCTTTTGAACCCCATGGATGGTGTGACTCTTATACAAGAAAAACCGACAAACAAAAGAAAACTAAAAGATTCTAACACTTTAAAAATACAGAGCTATATGCTTTCCTTCCACTTCCCCTGCCTGGCATGACATCGTCAAGGTTGTGCCATTCAATATCTTCAAGGGTAATAGGGTAGTGTTCCTCAATCTCCTGTCTTTTATTCTATACCAAATAAACACCATTAATATTACTGCAAATTGAAATGTAGTTAGACTTCAGCAAGAAGTTTTTGAGAATTTTGTAACACTTCTGAAGACACCCAGTGGTGTTCCCAGACCAGAGATTGGAATAAGAAGGTGGTGGTGACAGCCTAGCACGCACTTGCATAGCCCACCACTTTCAACAGAAAGAATGCTTTTGAAAAAGTGGCAATGCCCCAGCATCAGGCCCCTCAAGAGGGGCATGGGTGTAGGAAGATGAATTTCTAGCTCCTTCGTACCTTCTTCTACCTCTCACAGATATCTTACTTCCTGAGGCAAATGCAAGGGCACTTACACACTACCCAGCTCGCTCCTGGGACACCGCCAGACAACTTTGAATTAAAGATAAGAATCTTCTCAGGCTGCAAAGAAATATAACTCATATTCACTTTTATTTCGCTTTTGAATTAGTGTTTATAAAATCCTCATCCTCTCCTCATCTTCAAAAACCTGAGTTGTAGAGATGATTTTTAAAACTCTGCCCACAGCATCTAAAAGCAAATTCTAAAAGCAAATACTTAGAGCAACTAAAATATGCATTTGTATGTGATGTATCTTACATCAGACTTTATAACAAACCAAAAAAATGAGTTATTTGAACTAGAAGGTAATTCTTTGGCTCTGTAATATTGAATTCTGTATCACTTGTAGGGAAAAAAAAATCAGATTGCCCTGAAATGGATTTTTTGTTCCTGTTACACCTACAACATAAGATACCAAAATTTATAAACTGCATAATGCCCTGTGTGAACATTTGTATCTTATCTCCATTCTAAATTCTCTGTTCTTCTCTTGGGTCTTCAGGATACCGAATGTCAGCCCCTCAGCATTGTCCAGAGGACATTTTTAAAATTATGATGAAATGTTGGGATTATAAACCTGAAAACCGCCCCAAGTTCAGTGAACTGCAGAAAGAGCTTGCTGTCATCAAGAGGAAAGTCACATAGTGACAGAAGTACAACAGCCTTCAGGACTCGGTCCTGCAGCTGATGATCTCGTTCTTCTCGTTAACAATGAGTTCATACCACGTTACCTGCAACAGTCTTCTAAGGTTATTGTTTTTATTAACTGTTTTTTTAAATATGTGCCATTTAAAAAAAAGTCAAAGGCAAGTGCATTCAAGAAACAGACAGTCCTACCAAGGGCTTGATTAGCTCACCACAGCAATCCTACCATTTCAGGCTGTTGTACATAGAAAAGCACAGGCTCTAAATGAGAGATGACACAGCTCTCTTTTTCACACCGGGACCATTCACGTTTCTCAGAGGTTTTCTACTTCAGGCACAGTTCCTGGGCTGCTGTCCCATGCCGCAGACCCCACTCAGTTGGTGCTATATGCTGCATTGGTAATGCCGTATTGGCAGGACACATTCCAACCACGGTTGGCTTTCTGCTCTGCCAAGGCAAGATTACATTTGTAAACATCATTTTATTTTGGGAATTATTTGGACCTCCTAGAGTTTTTCTTTTCTTTCTTGCCAGAAATAAGCACAGTGTAAGAATCATCACATTCCTTTATTATTAGTAAGTCTGTCATTTCCCTCCTCCTTTGTCCGGGCATCAGAAAATGATGCGTGAAATGTCCTCAGAGAGCACACCCTTAGAGTTGAGGCAGCAGCTTTTAAAGGATGTTTTAGAGAGCTGTGACCGCAGGAAGTCAGTTTGAACAGGGGAGTGGTCTGGAGAAAGGAGCAGCCAGAGTAGTGATCAGAGAAGAGAAGAAACAGAAAATATAAAATCTGCCTTCTCATCAGAGTTATGCCTTTACACACACACTCCCGTTTTATTTCATGGTCTGAATTCACGAGAAAGGTTTTAAGAAATGTTTTCAGGAGTTCACAGAGAGAGCCTTCTTAATGGCAACAAATTTTTTTTTAGAGAAACTGCAAAGCACAAGTGCACAGAAATAACAGCATACTTTTGGTTAAATACTTTCCCTTCAGAGAAAGACATCGCAGAATTTAATGCTCTTCATTTGTACCACTTTTCAGAGCTGTCAGAATGTCATGATCCTAGTTCATAAACACATTCACATGTGTACGTACACAAGTGCACGTGTGCGTGCGCGCCCGCGCGCGCGCGCACACACACACTCTCTCTCTCTCTCTCTCACTACCAAGATGCAAGGCAGGTGTGAATGGAGTAAACAGTTGAGAAGTCAAATGAGCATTATTGAGGAGAAGGACACAGGGACAGCCCTCCTATTTCCTCTCTTCCCTTCATTTACCCTTATACTGCTGCCTGGAAATCCCTGTCATTTGCTGACAGGTATGTGAGTACAGTTCTGGAGATGTTTCATATGGATAATACATAACACAGAGTTAAAACTAGGATTCTGTTGAGCTGAATCTTAGCTGCATCCAGGGAACTTACCCCGTGTTCTATATATAGTTGCCTCTCAGGATAAATATGTTTGTAAGAGATGGTCATGCTCAGGGGTAAATGGGGCTTGGGAGCTTTTATTAAGTGCTCAGGCCTGTGTCCAGATAAATAGCATCTTAGTGATTATTTGGTCTACGTTCATTGGAAGAGTTTATAGTATAGAAAATTCCTCCTGCCCTCTCCAACTGTTTGCTGCCTATGAATATCATTGCATAGGACTCACACCCAGTACTTTAAAGAGTATAGAGGATAATACTGACAGAAAAATGGCTTGTGTCTATCATTTCAATCCCCTTGCAAGTTTTGTGCACATTTAATGAGCATTACATCCAGACTGAAATGAAAGCATAATAAACTTGCCCTCAAAAATATACTGCAATATACAAAGCAACTATTTTTTAATCAGCATTGTTTCCCTTCTGTCAAATATAAATAAATGGAACCTTCTTTTGATGGCATATACTGTGATAAATCAAAGCACAGACTCGTGAATTAAGATTAAGTTCTGGCGTCTTCAGGCACTTGCCAGCCTGCAAAAGTAAGAATAAGAAGGGGACATTTCCACCCTTCATCAGTATCTCCAAGTGAATCTCTCCGACATATTCTTTGTTTAAAGAAAACAGCCTCCCATCACTTGGCAGCCTCAATGCTAAGCTCTCAGCATGGAGAGAAAATGATGGTTTTGGCTTTAATTTTGTGAACAAGACCTGAAGCTTAATCTTTTCATTCTGGTGTAAAGAATGAACATGCATTGGTATTTCACTCATCCAGGCTGTTAGAATTTGCAATTCACATCAAAACTCTGTGCTTAAATTAAAGAAGCTTTTCAAAACATCGTGACATCTGCAGCATTTAAATTCAGTTTTATTTTTTCTCCCAAAGCAGGCAATTGTATAGTTCAGGATTAATAAGTCACTGGGAGTCTTTCAGGATCATATCAGTTGTATAGAATGTTAAATTTAATATAGGCACATGCATTAAGAAAAACTAATGCAAACCATTTTTACTGTTAATTTTGTTGTGCTTGAAGCATAATTTATTCATCCCTTCTGTCACTGATAATTATTGGAATTATGTACTTTAGGAGGTTAATCCATACCCAAAAAGCATACATATAAATACTGTTCTGAATTTGCAAGTTAATGTAGGAAAGAAAGCTTCAGAAATATACAAAATTCTATGGCTTGTTTAGTAAGAAAACAGTTGTAACCAAAATTGCTACTGGTCTGAATGTAATTAAGCCAGGTCACAAATCTTTGTGTTGTTAATGGATTTTCCAGGAGGTGCATATATCACTCCAATACAGTTCCTGTCATAATTCCTTAAATGTATGAATATGGAGTAGGGGGCAGGTAAGCCCAGGCAGTCTAACTCTCACCTGCATTTTTCTATCTTGAATCAGCAAGGAGTCTTTATGAGAAATATTTAGGTAATTCATCATTTTTCAAGGAAGGAAATCTTTTAATGTCAAATTAATGTTTATTACCAATATGTGAAACCTAAAATTAATTTTGTATTCCATGTAATCTAAGGTTACTTCCTAAAGCCAATATATCCTTTCTTTTCCAGGAAAATAATAATAAAGGATTAACAAGTTTTGTTTAAACTTTCAAAATCAGAGGCTTTATTTCAATAGCCCATCCTGCCTCTGGGTCCCCAGTGAAAGGTCTCATGTTATCATTTCTCTTTTATCTCCCAAATTTAATATAGGCAATAAAGTTCTTCATCCACAATTCACCGTTTTATCACAAATACATTATTGAGACATCTTACCACAGATCAATATAGAACATGAGCCTAATTGTATTAGTTATTGTGCAGTGCACATTTCACAATTGTTTTTCATTTGAGGGTTATTTAAAAAAAAAAAAATGTTTAGTCATTGAAATAGTCTTAATTTCCTTTAAACCATGATATGGTTTTCTTGTCTATGTTATACTCATGTTTTAGTTTGCCATATGGTTTTGTGTAAAGTTTGGCTAATACCACTAAAATAACTATGGCTTCACAACACTGGTGTGTCAAGAAGAAACTGTTTAATTATAATATATGCCACACACTGAGGACCTTGTAGTGAGGTAAACATAAATATGAGAATGCAAAAATACATGTCTGGATCATATGTCGCTGTCCTTCAGAGATATCTCAGTCACTCTGCTTTCTAATTCATTCTTGTGAGTCATCAGATCTTTTAAGAGTACCTGAAAACCTTACTTAGTTTACTCTGGATACACTATTTTGTGGCCGTGTGTCCTTCGAAGTGAGATTAATTGATACTTTCTGAAAAGAGGTTGTTTGCCTCAGGCCTCTTCTTTTTACATACACTCCCTTGATCACACCATTGATGTTAGATGTTTCTTCAACAGAATTGACTGTCCATAAGCTCTGTTCTCAGTCATGGAAAGACTGGCTGTTGTATTTAGGAGGTCAGAGCCCCCACACAAAACAGAGAATAACGCAAAATATACAGAACAACAAAGGGGCAGACAATTGAAAAAGACGTTTTCTTTATGTTTTAATATGTTAATTAAATGGGAGCAAAGATTTTATATGAAATGAGTTTATATTACATTTCCATTATACTATTAAGTTAGCGTGAAAGTTTGCCATTAAAATAAAGTGTTACCTCTTTTATTACTCTGATTTGCTTATATATACCAGAAATTTTTTTAATATTTTAATTTTATTTATTTTTCTCTGTTTTGATTAGCTTCATATCAAGTTTGAATACTATATTATTTGGGACAATCCAGAACTACATATTAATTTCTGCAAAAGAAAATACTCTGATTTAAAAAGTCAAGATTTCTTGTACCGAGATTACCTGCTTGAAGGAGGTAATCGACAGTCTTAGAGTCCCATAAAATTCTCCTTTAAAAAATAATGCTATAATACAGAAGGTGTATAAACTATATATCTTAGTCATAATTTAAGGAAATATTTATTACCCCTTGAAAACCATCCTACTGCCTCATACTGATTCAAAGATTAAATTTTGAATTGTTGAGTGTAGACATTAAGACTCACTTAGCTGCCTAATAAGGACTGAGATTCTTGGGTGGTAGAAAAATCCTGCTGTACTAAATTCCTAGTCACTTTAAACCACAGAGCAGTAATGAGCATAGGCTTCAGTATGTCTGTTAATGAGCTGGGCAAGCATCTACAAAGACAAAGGAGGGAAGAACCAGTTATTCTAAGGCAGGATGATGGAGCCCCACAGAGAGTGTGGAATAATTAAAGTGGCATGAAGACTTGAACAATATCACTAGAAAGCCTGAAGAAAACAGTGCCACCAGGCCAGATCCTTTCCTGTAGAAAATTTAAAAGATATTGGAGTCAAAAGAAGCAAAAGAGGTCACTTGCCAGCATGTGGTCCTTAGTGTGAGCAAACCACACCCCTCTCCCTTGCATTTGGAGCAGTTGATACCCCTAGCTCAGAGATGATTCTGTGCTGGATGACACTTACACTCATTGTCCTGCCAACTCATGGGTTTGGTCATATGTGTTTAGACTTTTAAAAGAGACTACTCAACATCTCTTTACATTTACATTAGTTATAGTTACTATTTCTTAAACTAAGATCACTGATTATTCATACCTTACTAGAAATCTCTGGTTGTAGTGGGGCTCAACCTGGGCTCGTCTCCTAAATGAGAGCGCACTTAGATTAGCCCTGTTTCTCCTTTGCCTGATGTTAACTAATTGGCTCCTAGAGTTAGCCCCAGAGGGACCTTACTGAGATGAGCTCTTCTCTGGAGAAACATGGAATTCAGCAGGGAATTAGGAAAATACCAATTAACTAGCCATGTTCCTTGTCTTTATACTAGTATCTTTTGAGGGAAAGGAAGCTTAGAAACATCTTAAAACCAGTGAAAGTGCAGTATGGCTGAGGTTAGACTTGGAAGGCAGAGAGAGAGACATCCAACAAGGAAGACTGAAGGACATGAAGGGCAAGAACAAAGTACCAACGCAGAGTGACTCAAGGGCTAACCTCCCTACAAAGAAACGCGGTATCAGTTAGGGAAAGCTAATCCTCCAAGGGGATTTTGAGGAGCTTCCTGCTGCATGTTATTAAATATTACATGCCTCTCAAGTCTCTACGACATTTCTTAAAGGGCATCGAATTGGATATTGATTTTATTTTCTTTACACTCCCTCTAATCTCAGGAGGTAGCCACTGTTGAATGAGAATTATCCTGCTCTGCTTTTCTGGAAGGCTGCAAACATGACAGTGGTTCAGCCCACTCCCTAAGCAGTGGGAAGCCGAGTAATGGCACACATATGTTTGGGACAGCCAGCATTGGAGGCAAATTGCTGTGCAAACTCCTACATTTTATTTTGTTAAAGAAAAGAGATCTTGCAGGTGTCTATGCTTGGAAGATAAAGACAGATATAGCTTCCCTTCTTGCCAGAAAACTTGTATGAGCCCCCAAACAAGAATATTTATGACTCACTCTAAAAAGATTC